TCCAGCACACTGAAGGAGAGGGAGAGTAAAATTATGCAGGGCATCATTTTGGACTACAGCCTCTTCTGTCCTTTGTTTGCCTATTTCCTGGGCACTTACTCTGTTTCAGTATAATTGCAGGCATTAGATATTTTCAGCAAATCAGCTTCACTCAACTCTTGTTTTTCTCTCTTTAATAAAGTCATTAATATATAGTGTTGCAGTACACTAGCTTGAGAAGGCAAAAATTTTGTGTGGGAGGAATGAGGAAGATAAGTTATGTCAGACATCTGGATGCTGAAAGACAGGCTCTTTTCAGCAGTGTACTCACTAAAAATAAAAGGCTTTTCTTAATGAAGAGGATACATGCTCACTGACAGTTTCTCACAAAGGATAAGTAGTACCTCTTATGATTTATAACACACTCCAAAAAAGGAAATTGATACAGTTTTGCTATTATACTTCCAGAATAATCATCTTATACTGAATAACCGAAATAAGAAAAGTCTTGTTACTTGTGAAAAAATAACCAAGTCTAAACAATGCCCTCTTACAAATGTATTTCTAAAAATCTAGACTTAAAGCTAATTAAAAACTAGATCGCTTACATTTTGTGCATTTATTTCAATCTCAAAGACAGGCATTAGCAAACGAACACCCACTCCCCTCTCCCAAAACAAAAATCACACACAAAAAAGCCCAAAAACCCAAACCCACCACACCAACCAAACAAAACAATCTTAAAAGCACAAAACACTGAAAAACAAACAAACCAACCCTTAGAGCAATCTTTAGGGAAAAAAATATTTAAAAAAAGGATCTGAACTTCTAGGCAAAGAAACATTTATTTCTTCATTAAAAAAAATAATAAATCACAATTGGATAATTACTGTATAAGCCAGAAAGTCTACTAGTCTAATATCCCATAGCTACTTGTCTTCATCAACCAAATAAAGACACTTTTCTGGAAGAGTATCATCCATTTCACTCCTTCCCTTTTTCTTACCAGGATATTGCCATCTGTACATTAATAAGAATTACACTTACCTGTGATACCCTCTGCCAGTAGATCAGTCATTTTGCAGCACAGTGACAGTAATTTAGTAGTGTAATCATCTAAAAGCATTATCTAAACATTTTGAAAAAACACACAAGTATTTACGTAAGTTAATCAGCTATAGCAAACCCATGTTGTTGCCTTAACTTGGTGTGGAAATTTGAAGCTGAAATCTATTTCATTACTCTATATCTTTTCATTACCTGCATATAGCAACACTGCGGGAAAAAATTAGTCTCAAACAGCATTAGAAGGCAGCTCCCTACATACAGGATATCCAAAGATAAGCTTCATCTTAACTAAGTAGCTTGTCCCCCCGACTCATACTAAAAAATATTTTGAAACTTTCACTTGGTCACAAGTCTTTTGAATTCCTGCTAATATACACAATGGCCTGCTTAAATATATCTGTACTTAAACTGTTTTATAGCTTAAGCAGCTCAAAGAGGTGAATCCACATGTACTGGAGTGCCATATAATTTATGGAAGTAATAAAGTATAAGCCTTTGAAAAGAAAAGTGGAGATAAACAAAAACAGTTTCTAATTTTTTAAAAACACTAAAAAAAATAAGAGACAATTAACCATTTGTTCTCCCTATACAGGCTTCAGATTTTTCAACATGTATTATACAGTGTTCAGAGTTACCAAACCCCAAATCTATTACCTGGATAGAAAACAATGTTAGATGAAAATACCAGCCATTAAGTTTACTTATTTGTTCTCTACTCAGTGATACAGATTTCTTGTTCAAGCGATGACAACATTCTTACAAAAATAACAAAACTGTACCTTCCATTCTTCCTCTTTCTTGAAGTCATCAAACACTGCTGATTTTAGCTCTGCAAGAATAAACAGTTTCTCAGAGGAATCAAATTGTTACTCAAAAAGAAAAAAATAATTCACTCATTTAGATTCATATGTTTAGAGGCCTAAAAAGAATAATAAAAAAACCCCCACATCAATAAATATATCCACAGAATTCTTGACCACAAACTGCCCCTGCCTGTTTCTAGGTCTGTACACAAGGTGTAACAAAAAATCTTTAGCCTCGTGAAATTTTATTAACCTCCATATTTCTGGAGAACATTCTTGCCAATTAATTAGTCCTTAGCATTACACAGAGTTCTTTTTAATAAGCTGAATGCCCAATAATCTTGTCCAAAAGCTCAAATATATTTTTTCTACAAATACTGTATTTTGTTTGCCTATAAAATAAACCAGACCATACAAATGCATAATTCAGTTGTCTTGAACCTCATTTCGGTAATTAAAAAATTGAAGTCCATTTTTTCCCATGATAAAAAGAAACTTTATTCCAAGCTATCAGTGTACTAACACAGTGTACTTGCCCGTGTAACATTCCAACAATTTGTTTTGCCCTCAACCTGCAGCTGCCTCATCCAAGTAACTGACCTAGACTGCTTTACAAGCTCTTAAAATCATCTCACTGCTCTCCAGCAAGCATTCTGAACACACCAAAAACCATCACAAGCCCAGGAATGATTAGTGCTCCATTTTTGTCCAAGTTTTCATTTTCTTCTCACAAATTTCATACCAATCACACATCCTGAATACCTTTTTTACTTTTGTCTTCTTTGAATTAGTCTAGAAAAGCATTGTTTCTTCTACCTTTACTTCCTGATCTAGATAAGAACTATGCACAAGGCTGCAGGAACTGCAGACTGCTAAATCCCTATGTGAAAAAATAAACAAACAAACAAGGAAGCCACACCTTGGCAAAGTCAGTGACCAGTTTATAACACACTTCCTGAAGAAAGGACTGTAAACAAGTGTTACAAAAAATAAAGTTGCAGAAGTGCCAAAATTAACGTAGTTATCTGTGATTAGGCTAGAACCCATTATACAAGTCTAGAACAGAACTCTTTGTGGAAAAACTTTATTTACAGATAGACACGGAGAGCAGCTGTATATAGTTAATGTCAGGATTTTATCCACAGGAACTACTGCTTCCTAAATACAGGTGCTTCCCCTACCCCCATAATTGTGAGCTGACAACAAACTGGGTGAATTAACTCTCCCACACACTTCTGCTTCAATTCAGACTAAAACTGCACCTAACAGAAGGGACTATCACAATAGCACAAAGAGGTTTTTAACAGCACCATGACATAGCCCAGGTACAACTCCCTTTGTACACACACCACAGGTACTTCTGTACCTGTTCACAGAGCAGGAATAAGATACACATTGACACAAACTGCCACATAAACCACCAACACCACTGACATACTATTTTCAGACAAATCAGCCTTAAAAAAAAAAAGCACCAACATGTTTGCTGATCCATTAAGAAGCAGCAGTTTATGGCCTTCAATTACTCATAATCAGAGTGCCAGAGTATGTATGAAACTTAGTTCATCAATTTTCATTGTTGTTGAAATGGAAAGACAAGAGTAACTAATTATCTAACAAAGCATTCTTTTCATGACATACCTCAACTAAACTTGCAATATAAATGTTTTATTATTTACATTGCTTTACCATCACTCTAATCTTCATTCCTCACAGTCTTGTCTGCACTGACAACACCATTTTCAAAAGTCCTTACAGGCCCTGACAACACTATAATGCTTTGATCACATTCCTTCCTTGAGATGTCCAAGTCTTCCACAAAATATCTCAAGACAAAACGGTGGCTTTACAGTCAAAGGCACACATAACCTAACAGACCAAGACAGGAAAAGCAAAGCAGAAAAAGTAAGGATTTCTAAAGGTCAAGTTGTAAACAAAGGTATCTAATTCATACAAGCAGGGTATAGGTGCCAGCAATTGAGGACTGAACATCAGAGTTCAGTTCCTCTTTCTCAATATCCTCTTCCAGTGACACGAGCAACCAGATCAGAGCTTTCAGGTGGAAGCAGAGGAGGAACAGAAAGAAGACAGCAGCAGGACCTTCCCATTTCAGTGACAGTCACTAGGCTGGCTGAACAGCTCATGGAGTCACAACCTCAGTACAATTAAGCCCGGGGTGAGGTAGCTGCTAATGCCTTTTCTCATAGGTCTCACACTACCTAAAATACTATGAGCCCTTCTACTCCACCAGGGAAGGGAGCAGTTGCAATTTCCTTTTCTGTAACAAACACCAGCAGAACCTGCTCCTAAACATGGAGATAAAAATCTGCAGTTCATTTGTAAGACTACGTGGGAACGCCTTCAACTTTTTCTACCGAAACCGTGAAGCCGAACACAAAGCAGGCAGTGCCGCTCCGTGACACACACCAGAGCCCCTCCTGAGGCCGGAGTGCTCTCCAAAACCGCCAGTTTGGATGCAACAGAGAACTCCTGGAAGAGCTGGCTTCAGTTTAAGCTCTCCAAGAGCCGACCCGGCGGGCTACAGCCTGCAGAGCTCACCCTTATCTCGGAATAAGGCGCGAGCGTCTCTATCCAGGCGCTGTCACCGCGGGCACCGCAAGGTGGGGCAGCCGCCTCCCACCCCCGCGATGAGTCACCAGGTGTAGCAGCCGGGGAGAAGCCACCACCCACAGCCTCCGCCGCACAGCCGGCTCCCCGCAGGGCCGCCCGGGACCGACTCCGCTCGCCCTCCTCGGCTCCGACAACGGCGCGGCTCCGGCCGCGGCCCCGGACCCACCCCGGGCGGGCAGGGCACCCCCGACCCCACACAGCGGGATATACGCGGGCGGCGCCCCAGCGGCAGCGGCTTCCAGCCGGCCCGCGAACACCGAGCGGCCCCGGGGCGCTCCCGGGCCGGGGCGGGGGCAGCAGCCCCGCACTCGCTCCCGCACTCACTCACTCTGCCACACAGCGCCCTTCAGCCCCCGCACCGGCGGCGCCATCTTGCTGCCAATCCCTCCCGGCAGCACTCCCTTCCCCTCCCTCTTCAGGGACGGCGGGCGGAGCCGGGCGGCGGAGGAGGGCACTGCCTGCTCCTGGGCGGGGCGGGCTCCTACCGGGCGGGGCGGGCTCCTGCCGGCCGGGCCCGGCCCCAAGGGGGCCGGGCCCCCTTCCTCTGCCACATTGGGGTCCGTAATTCCCATTGGAGAAGCGCTCGGTGACCAGGGTTCGTCCCCTGAGGAAGGAGTCTCCTGCTGCTCACCTGTCAGCAGGTGAACCTGGGACACGGAAGCCGCTCCCGACCCCCGCGGCGGCTCCTGGGGCTGTGTGTGGAGCAGCGGGGGGAGCTGGAGAGCGCAGGGCCGAGGGAGCGCCGCGAAACTTGCCGTGGTCCCGGGTCCCCTCGCTCCCTTATGAAAGCGGCCCCAGGGTTCTCTCTGACATTCGTGTAAAGCCGCGAAGGAAAACACTGTCGGGTCATAGAACGATACTGTTTGTTGTCGCCTACAATCGTCTGTCAGAAGTTACAGTTTGAAGACATAAAGTCGTGTTGTCTAAGGGGAACCAGCAGCTGGTACAGATACGAAGGAATATGAGGAAAATGTCTCTTTCCACAACGCCAGATACTGAGGAAGGGTGGTTCCCAGTCCATAGCAGTGTTCCATGCGAAGGGGAGTACCACGAGGGCATCATTCCCAACGGAAAAGAAGGTCCTTGTATGTAGACAAAAATACAGTAGGTAATGAGCTGAAAAGCAAATCTCAGATTTACATTGGGCTTAATTATTTTATGAATCTTGTATAACCCATACAGAGACTGCATCCTGTAACAGAAGGGGGAAAACCCCACCGCCCGCCGGCGCTGTGTCGGCCCCTGTCCCCAGGGTTCGGTGGCCGCCGGCCGGCTGGGCTCCAGCGGGGAGGAGCGCCCAGCCCAGCGCGACCTCCTCTGTCCCGGGGAGCGAGCCTGCAGTGGCAGCACTGCCGAGACACAGAGCTGCTCACAGCAGGGATCGGCCTCGGCTCATCCCCGTGGGAAGGCTGGAACAAAGCTCTGACAAGATGTGTGGTGCGAAAAGTAAATCATTAGCGTTTACTGGACTGCTTCTCAACTGCCTAGAAATGGTGAGTGCAACTCATTTGCTTTAGAGCTGTTTTCAACGATGATATTGTACTCTGTAAATGTAAACTAAAAGTTAGGATGGACACTATCATGCAGATGTTTCTGCACTGGTATTGAGTTACTATTACACTTTTGCACTGTTTGCAAGTGACTGAAAAATAAAAGGATATATTAGGATTCGAGGCCTTTCAAAGTGTGTCAACGGGATCAATAGGAAGATTTAGAGAGGAAAATGAAAATGAAGAAGCAGTACGATCTGGACACCAGTACCAAATCTCAGTGGTTGCATACTCTTTCCATGCTTAAAGAATCTAAGCCAATACATCATATCAGTAAAATGTGTTTAAAAACATAGTATTTTAAGTTGTTGTTGTTGCAATTAACATTCTTAGGTTTTTAATTTTCCAAATAAAATATTTCACATTGTATTTCTAATTTTTTTACATCTTCCTTTCCAGATCTTTTCAGCTAACACAGGTAAATCTTCAAAATGGTATTTTGGTTTTGCCTGCCTGTTTTTTAATGGGTCTGAAGAAAACACACACTTGTGATTTTTAATAAAATATTCTGTAAGTTCTAGCAGTTTTATAAGCAAAAATTGTTTTCAAGTTTGATTCAGCTTTAAAAAATTATGTTGATCTCTTTATAAATTTTAAACCTCATTTTCAGGAGTCCCAATTCTGTTGGGCACTTGCACAAATATTCAGACTTACACCTTGACACTGGTGTGAACCAGAGAGAACACTCAGATGAACAAATTCTGCTGTCCACTACCTACATAACTGTGCTACAAATAGGATTCAAACTGTCCCATATTTGCACCAAAGTAATTGTTATATATTTTAATAATAAAAATTAAAAATCACCAAAAGAAAATGCCACCACACTCCTTCCAAAAAAAAACCCCAAACCAAACAAAAAAACCACACCAGGAGAAGCACGCTCTCCCCTGCACAAATATTTCCAATGTTTTGCGTTTTATACTTTCTGCAGTCTTGTATTTTGTGCCTCCAGGTCCTCACACCTTAAAATGTGAATACTGAGTTTTTTGAAAGAAGAGATTACACGATTACAAGAAATGCTTTCAGCATTCATGCACTCTCTGGCAATAGTACATTCCTGCATATCCTGCACTGTCAAGAGCCTTAAATGCTTGATCATTGCAGACATGTTGCAGTATCTGGACACCTACTGTAACATATTCTTTTTATGATTAGCAAAACAACTGATCCTATTTATTTATGGAATAGTGTTGACATTGCTTGTATAGTCACATACGGATTATACATGGTATTTTTTAAAACAATTAGACTACAGCATATCGGTAATTTAAGAAAAATAGCCATCATCACAGCATGATATTATGAGAGTGAGCAGCAGTTATTACAGTAATTAATGGATTACAAAAGTGAGCAAGGGAAATAGCACTCCAATAGCACAATGCCTATTGTCTGAAAATTAGGTCACAGAGATGCTTGATAAGGCACTGAACAATATTCTTGTCAAGACTTAACTAAATTCAGGAATGACTGAAATGTTTTCTGATAATGATTTTTTTGGGTGTTTTAGGTTTCTCTGTGTCTTTATATGATGTGACATCGCAAAGCATTTCTCTCAGATGGCCCAAGTTTTCAGGAGCCTCTTCTTACAGGGTCACAGCTACAGCTGTGAATACTGTAGGCCATTCATTACTGGCTCATTTCAGTGATGTGACACTTAAAGCAACTCTAACTTCATTAATTCCCAATACTGTTTATGCGATACAAGCAGAAGCCATTGACAAGAATGGGATTATTCTTGCAGAAACACAGATTATGCAGTCAACAGGTTAGTAAGAGAAACTGGGAAGTATAATTTCCATTGTCCTCTGTATGACTGGGATTTCATCCTTGATGTTTCATTGTACTGGTAGGGAAAATCTGCCATTCTTGTTGAAGCCTTTTGCTGGTTCTCCTACTGAGTTCAATATTAGCATGATTAGCTCCTTTTCTCCTCTCATCTTGTTCCAAGTTTTCCTGATCTGGCACGCACAGTTTGCTCAGACTGCAGCTTTTTAAATCACCTACCCTTTCATTACAAAAGCAGATATGAAGCTATTTATAAATTTTTCAGAACTGCTAAACGGTAATTTTGTTTCATTCACAAAAGGACTTGTAGCATGTAAGTCACTGATGGATATTGAAAGAATCTACATAAACAGAAATCCTTTTTTATTTCATCACTGAAATGTAATTGAAAAAATATTCTGTTGAAATTCTGTTTTTAAAATAATTTAGCTGATAATTTTGAGAAATAGCCATTACTTTTCCAATTGAATGTTTCTTATAAAATTAATTATTACAATAAAATTTGAAAATAAAAAAGTAGAGGTGTTTTATCATGGTAAGTGTAAACAAGTAGAAGTATTTATCCTGCTAAGTGTAAACAAAATGTCTATTGCTAGCTTAGTTTTGGAAGAAGAGATATTAATGATTAATGTGTAATTTATTTCCGATATACATCACATGCTATATATTCTCTACTTGACTGTTAGGCAAAAAACTCCATTAGACTTGCACGTGGATTTCTTGCACAGAAATTTTTATGCACGGTTACTAAAAACAATATTTTAAAAGGAAAAAAAAGCATAGTGCAATATCTTACTCAAAGATTGCAAAAGACCCACTTGCAAACGTTCCACAGGCATGGTCAGACAGAATATCTGTTACCATTTTTACAAGTGGGGCAACATAAGGTGTGTGACTGTAACTGATAAGGTGCTTGGAACTAAGAGAGCAGACATAACGCTCAGTTAAATAGCTGTGTAATACTTGCTGGGTCTCCCAAATCCCAGGTGAGCTGCCTTGCTTTGAGTAAGTTTGCCTCAGGGTGCATACTTTGTCCCAAATATTTTACATTCCTTTTCTTAATTTTATGTGGGATACACCTTCATTTTATCTTTTTTTTCTTTTCCAGTGAGTGTATATCTGAGTACAGTGAGTCTAAGTGTATCTGCTCTGAGCATGGGGTTAGATGTCCTACATTTTGTCTGTGTGAAATGTTCAGAGCACTCAGCATTTCACGGGGCTCAGTTCCCCAACTTAAGCATGTCTATCATTATTTCCATTTTAGCTCCAGACATACCTGTTATTGACCAAGCTTATTCAAAACTTAGCAACAGTATCACAGTGGAATGGAGAGCGGTACCTGGGGCTACTAGTTACATGCTGACTGCACAAGATGGAGATTCCTTCATTGAAACTGTAGTTAAAAATTCTCCAGGCACAGTGACGGGGCTGCAACCTGCCACCTTGTACAGAATCACTATCAGATCTATAAATTCAGGAGGAAAAAGCCAGCCTTCACCTTTCAGAAAAGTAAAAACAGGTGGACTTTAAAATTCTTATTTCAAATTCTATAATGTTATTATAAAGCATTCATTCATGTACCAGTCCTGAATTATTATAGTCTTGCATTTTAAATTGTACTGATCACATTTTCCTTTCAGTTTTTGACAACTAGAATTCAGGCATTTGACTTAATGACCAGGACAAGAGTCTGAATTAATGGTTTACTTTATGATAGGACGTTAAGTTAAATATTCAATTGGGAGTTTTGCTAGAATTTGTATGAATGTATGTATTTTACTTTAACAAAAGGCATAAGTTGAAGGAATAGAAGAAATGAATAAAATAAAATAATAAGACAATGTAAAACTTAAAGGACGGGAAACGCAGTATCTTCTTGGTGATTTTCATTCTTCAACACTCACAACCTTTCATACTTTCTGTATGAGTTACATTCATTTTACAAAACCTGTAGTATAATAATCGATGCATCACAAATCACTTTCTATATTTATTCAATCAAGCTGGCATCCATTTATTTTTCTGCTTTTGTTGTCACTGAATTTGTCTCTCAGAGTTGGTGATTGTTGTTTCTGTATTCATTTCAAATTTGGCCCTTTCAAACTGTACTACTGAAAAACCAAAAGCTTGATTTTGTTCTTTCTCTACAGTCCTGGCTGCTCCGATTCTGTCTGTTAGTTCTCCGAGCTGTGACTCCATTGCACTGAGCTGGAAAGCTGTGTATATGGCAGCTGGATTCTCTGTGTCACTCATGAGGTCAGATGGTTTGGGCAGAATGCTGAGGGAGAACACCACCAGTACCTCCTTGATATTTACAAATCTAGATCCAGGAACTCTCTATACTATCAAGGCTTATGCCTGGAATGCCAATGGGATGCCTGGAGATGATTTCACATATAACCAAAGAACAAGTAAGAAATTTTCTTTTCTGAAACCAAGTGAGCATTAAAAAAAAACCCCAAACCAAAACAGCAACAATATAGCAGGAAGTATTTATGTGTGTGTATGATTGTGTTATGTTTTTCAAAGGTACACTGGGTAGATTTTCAGATCACATCATTTTTGCCCCATCTCAAAGTTTATGAAACCTCAGATAACATGACTATGTTTAATAAATATTACTGAGGCAAAGATACCATTAACTGTCACTAAAGTGGTACCCAGGACAGGTGTGGATAAGGATTACACAACTTTAGACTGATTTGAGGATTTTTCTAACTGTGAGAAGCAAATATTCAAATAAGGCAGGGAGTTTCAGCAGAAAGCTTTGTGACAGTGTATAACTAGAACTATTTCTTTTAAAAAATGTCACTTTAACATGAATGAGGCTAAGGTCTGCACCACAAAAAATGTATTTAGTTTGCAAATTATGAAAAAGCTCATGTCTGTAGGCCATAATCTAAGTTGTATTTATGTGTTCCAAACTATTGATATACCGTAGGTCCTAATGCACCGGCGGATGTTAAAGTAGCTTTTAATAGTGGTGCTTTAAGAGTTTCTTGGATGCCAACAGAAGGAGCTCTAACTTACACTGTCACAGCCTCCAGTGGACTCTTGAAACTGAAGTGTAACACATCCTCCTCCTCCTGCATGGTGCCATCCCTCCAGTGCAGCTCTGAATATTATGTTTCTGTCATAGCATACAATGATGCTGGATCCAGTAAACCTACTGATGCAGTAAGCTTAAAAACTAGTATGTGTCATTGATCCTTATATAGCTTATGGCATTTTAACATATATTTCTTTAATTTCAAATGCAAATTAGTCCAATGCAATTCACAAGTGATTCTCAAATAGTTATTTCTGCTTTTGACCTTTGTGCATGAATGGTGCCATATTCTTTTCTATTTCAGGGATAAGAGCCTAAACTTTCTTCATCTTTGTGTAAGAAAAACTTGCAATGGTGTATATATTGTTGGCTGAAACAGTAAGCCTCTGTTTTCCTATTACTAGAAGTACATATTGTAAAGTCAATTTTCTAAGTGTAAAACTAATGTAAGGAATAACAGGTCTGTGAGGAAATGGCATTAAGGATTGCCTCTGGGCTGAGAACTGTTCTAGGCCAAGTCTAGTTTTCAGTTAGAAAGGAGGTCAACAAAACCACATTCAGTCAAAGTAGCACCACTAGACTAAATTAAGAAACTATCAACCATCATCAGAACAGAAGCTCACTTGTTTCAGCTACAGCACCAGTGCCATGTCAGAGGTTATTGCTTCCTGACCTGTTAGATGAACTGCCCATGTAATCAAAATCTAAAACATTTCTTTCATTACATGTTACTTTAAAGACACAACACTATTTACTTAGTTATTTGATGTAACCTGCCTCATTTTGACTTTTCATTGAAAGGAGTTAGAGATCAATTCTGTGAGCAACTCTGAGGTGGATCTAATGGGATGAGAGAGCCTTACACAGTAGACAAGTATTAAGCTGTGGGCTGTGATCTCAGCCAACACTGCTTCACCTGGATCATGTACATTCATTCTAATAGCAGCAAGCTACACTTCTTTGAACAAGAAAGTAAATGTTATTTAAACAAAAGCCATAGAGTTTGCAGTTTAATGTGACATGATGCCACCAGAAAGGGAACCTAAGCAAAGGACAGTTCTACTCACAGACAGCCAGTGAGTATCATACAAACATATAAAGGGCTTTCACACATAAAAGCTTTTGGATGCTAATTGTTATTCAAGCTAGTATTACAATTACCATCCAAACCTACTATTTGTGAGCACACACTGTGCAAGTTTCTTTTGAAATACTGCCCAGTGTCGCTGTTTTTTTCACTGTTCAGCAGGGGCTCCTTAATCAGAATTTGTTTCTGTAAAACATGAAGATAGTATCTATTTTGTTCTGTAAAAATCATACCCACTTGTCATCTAAATGTAAGTAGCACCCTCTGTAAATGCAGATAATATTGCTGTTTGCTTGAACAAGACAAAAACTGAGTAGAATAATTCTGTATATTCCTGATTTTCCTTTACCAAAAGGAAACTTTTAGTAAAAAAGTGTAACTTCAATAAAAATATTGTCGTTACAATTCTTTTTTTTTTTTAATTTTTTTTTCAGTTCCTTGTGCACCAGTAAACATATCAATTGAAGAGGATGAACCTGGTCATTTGCTGGTGTCATGGTCTAGCATCAGTTTTGGTCATTATTACGTGGTTTTTGTGAAGAGTGATGATGGCTTGGAAGTGCACTGCAACACATCATATACTCAATGTCATTTCCAGTCAGACTGTGGCTTCACTTATTTCATTAGTGTCTTTGCATATAACAAGGCAGGGCAGAGTCCTTTAGGTGATGTATTCAATTACACTACTGGTAAGTAGCCACTTATTTTTGCAAATTCATTTGGATCCTTTAACTGTGTTTATGGACATTTTTATGGTAAGATACTGACTTAAACTTCTATTTTTATTCAGGTTTTGGGCAAAACACACAAAGGTTGGCTGAAAAAAAAGGAACACTTCCCGTTGCCATTAAATTTAACTTGTGTAGTCAAGTGCAACATGCTTACAAACTTGAAAATAGTTTAACAATTCACAATCATCAATCAGGCAAGGACATATGAATAACTCACAGCCCTGGCATAACATCTGAACTCTAGTCCTGTTTAGTTTTTTTCTTTTACCTCAGGAATGGTGTGTCAAAATCTTAAACTTCCTCATAGAGAGTTTTCATACTTGGAAAATGAAAAAAGATTAACCAGTTCAATGGGAAATTGAGAAGAATGTTGTTTGAATTATTTAACCTCTAGATGCTTTTAAAGCTTAAACCAAAGATATATGTAATTCCTGCGTCTGACCTAAACACTAGGATGTCCTGTATTGATTTTGGAAGGAGGGGCATTGAATTAATTCAGGAAATAACTCTGGGATTCATGAGACTGTTTGCACAGTATTGGTCACCTTTGGAGATTTAAGACATGAAGTACATAGGTAAATGAAACAAGGCTCCTATTCATGCCAGTTTCCCATTCCCATTCGAGTTTCCGTCTCTGCCTCTTCCATTCCCAGCTCCTTGTTGCCCCAGCGACTTCAGGGCCGTGTTCGTGTCCAGCGACACTGTCCGGGTCACCTGGGCTCCTGTCCGAGGCGCCGACCTGTACGAGACCAGAGCTGCCGCCTGGAGCACGGTGGTGCTCTGCAATGACACGGCCCCGGCCTGCACCCTGTCAGCTCTGCAGTGCAACACCCGCTACCACATCACCGTTCACTCCTTCAGCGAGGCCAGGGGCAGCAACACCTCTTGTGCACCCAAGCACGTGGAAACAGGTACCGTGATCACTCGTGTTTTCCTTTAGCAGGAGAAATAATTATTAGGCACCGCAGTGATTCATGGATGAAATGCATTACTGGAATGCTAACTTACTGTAACTGATAAAAATTTAAAAAAAAAAAAACAACTCCAAAACAGGAAGTCTTCAAAAATATACTGTAAGCAGGGATCTAAAAACAGATTTGGATTGAAAGTTTCTGACAGCTCCAATATTTTGAAAATCAGATTTACAGTTTATCTCTGGTTTTGTACACAAACTCCTTATGTTGTCAGTTCTGCCAAAAGGTCTAAATTCTCACCAGGACTAAGTATATAAGGATCATATACTTTTTCCAAAGCAGTTTGTTAGTTCTAACTGGAATTTAATTTTCATGTCTAACTTACATAGTATGTATAAACAATCTGTTTAAATACTGTTAATATGAAATATTTCAGCTCCCTGCAGTCCTGAAATTAAAAATGTCTCAAAGGAGGGTCTTTCTGTAATCAGTGTACAGTGGCAATCTAACAGTGAAGACGCTACATACGTTGTCACTGCCAGAGGAGAGGCTGGACTTTGGCATTGCACAAGCACTGGAAGCTCCTGTACCTTAACTGATCTTCCCTGTGGATCTGCTTTCTCTGTTAGTGCTATAGCAAGATCACCAGCAGGACAGAGCTTACCAAGCTACAGTGTCCCTTTAGAGATGGGTATGTGGGAATTGTATGTTAGCAGCATAATATTAAAATAGTTCTATGACTCTTTATATGTCTTTGGCCTTTTTTTTTAATTACAGTGTGTGCATATTGTACTACCTATTGCTGGATGCCCTTTGTATGAACCTGTCTGTATCTTTGTGTGTGTGAGAATGATCACTTGGCAGTTGCCACATACTGAGAAGCCTTAGCGCAACCAATTATTTTGTGTCACAGCTAACTAAAATGCAGTAACATAAGCCACTAATGTAATACATAACTTCTTTGTCAGCATTTTGATATTTAATATTACTAGGAGAAGCAATGAGATAATGTCCACATCAACAAATGAGCAGTATAAAGAACAGATTAAAGCACATCCTACTCACCACTCCTGCTATTAATTTTCTAACAGAGTTTTGTCCTCTACCACTTAACCCAGACAATCCCCAGGCCCTGTACAGGAATTTATGTACACCAGGGTCTATTTTTAACAGGCAGTTTGGCTGCAGTCATCTTGCATTGTAGAGGAAGAGACTTTAAACAAAGACAGAGCTGGACTGAGCTATATGACTTGAGGGGTAGAGGTAGACCCTGCTTAATTATCCCATGTACTCTGATACTTTCAAATCTTGGTGAACGATCGTGTTGTAGTAATTCCAGTATTATAACCCACTGTTATAGACAAATTCATCTTGTATTGACGTTCTCTATATTAGAAGTTTGCCAGCAATGTCAAGTATTTTTCAGCATGCTACTGTTTGCCTGAGAAGTATGCACTTTTTCATTCCTTTGCTCTTGATCATGTACAATTCTGGCTGCAACCCAACAAAACACCTTCCAAACCAGAACTGACTTCTCTATTTTTTCTCTTCTTTAAGCTCCTTGTTGCCCTAACGACCTGATATTAACTCAAGTGACACAGTCTGTAACAAATATCAGCTGGTCTGCTGGGAAGGGTGCACAGACATATGTAACAACACTGGAGTCTCCAAAAGGACAAGCAAAGTGTCGCACTCTTCAGAACTACTGTCTCCTGGGATGCATCACATGTGGCACCAACTACACAGTGTCTCTGAAAGCAATTAGTGAAACGGGTCTAACATCCAGTTGCACATATCAGGGATATTCTTCCAGTATGTAAATTGTAAATGCACTTGGGAAGAAAAAGACTCAATATACAACGTACTTTGTATACTGTTGCTCTCATACAAATAGCACAGCTGAAATTCAGTACATACTTAGTACACTTGCAGCTCCCTCTTCTAAATAAATGTACTTTGGATTATTTTCATATAATTTAAAACTTGTCCTTATGACAGCCATCAGATGGCCATATAAAGAAGTTTTAATAACATTGCTCCAGAATCAATTTCTTAATTTAAATTATGCTATAGCATAATTAAATTTTAAAGACCTCAAAAGGATTTTGGGCACTTTAAGGTAGGCCTTGTGCCAGGTGAGAGCAACAATATTCCAACATGTAAAATGGCTGAATTCCAGCTCCATAATATTAGTCTGATAAAACATTTTCTTTCCTAGTTCAGTTCAAGAATTGTTTTGGCTTTCTGTGAAATAGTAATTTCTCAGTGAAATGATGATAATCATAGTAATTTGGTTTAAAATGCACTCTAGGAGTTCACAAAATTTGCTTATTAATGTTTCTCTCCTTATTAGGTGCTTGCTGCCCATCTGGGGTGAAGCTATACAGACTGAGCAACAATGGCATCAGGGTGTTCTGGCGAGCCTCTGATGAAACAATGAACTACAGCACTGATTTACGTGGTTCAAAAGGCAACTTCACCTGTACCCCCAGCGCAGGTCGAAGTCACTGCGACATCACCGAGATACCCTGTGGGGATGTCTACACAGTGGTGGTAGTTCCACTGACTGATAAGGGTCCAAAGCTCACATTCTGTCCTAAAAAAATATATTCAGGTAAAATTTAAATTTCTTTGAATGATCTATTTTTGTCCATGCATTCTACATGGTTAAAATGTAATCCAAAGTTATGAAGGTAAAGGTGGCATGTTCTAGTGTTGACTACAGAGTAAACTTCGTGGGTGCTCTCTTGCAATATCTGTTACAGGAACTTCACAGGAGCATTTTGGGACTGGGCATACTTATCTACACAGATCCTCTTAACTAGATCAACTGTATCCTGGTGAAGGTTAGGAGTGGTTACAATATAGGAACAAATAAATGAGCATTTTTTGTTTTCTTTTGAATTTGGTTTATGGATGTTTTTTAAATAAAGAAACAATTACTTCTATGAACCACTCCTAAGCACATTTTGAAGTAATAATTGTTTAAAGGGGTAGTAATTACCTTGGGATTCCTTTCCTAGGGCATGGATTTAATCCATTTTAAAAGTACTGGTATCTGATGGGATTGCACAGTTGGACTACATACTACAGACTAATAATGTTTCACAGCTCACAACCTGACACCTCACATTTATACCACTGTTTCATGTCATTTCAGTAACTTGTTCTGGAAGCTCTGTTGGAATGGGTAAGAGCACATAGTACATTCATTACAAATTCATGGAGTTTGTAAAATATGTTCACATCGTTTAACTTCAAATAAGATGCATATAACATAAATTTGATCATCAAGGCTTCTGTTAGTATTATGCAGGTTTGTCTCACCCCCCATCTTATAATGAATAATTAAAAAACACAATCTTATCTATATTGTGGCCTGTATACCATCATGCATAGTCACAACACTATTTATCAGATAGTACAAAATAAAAGGCAGGCTTATCTTTTATAGCCTCACCATATCCCATTACAAATTAAACGAGGTTGCACTTCTGATTTTTATTTTTAAAAAGTTTAAAAAATGTGGCTTACCTCAACTTATTCTACCTTATTTCTTCTGGGGTTTAAACAGGATAGTCTTGTGTTTTATTTGCCTGCGTAAACTGCTAGAAACAACTTCAAAAGCAGCCACTGAAAAACTTCTTAAAACAGTTGCTTTTCTATAACTGAAATTGAATTTCCAAATTCTTTTCTAGTGATTTATAGAGGCAAGAGCAATGCAGAACACATCTAAATGAAAATTCTGGTTCAGATAAGAAGGTAAGTTACAAGAATTGCAGCTGATATTATGATGTATTAATCAAACTTTTCCTGCTGATTAAATCTTTGGGACTGGAGATAATCCATATTTACCTCCAAAAACTCATGTTGTCTACTCCTACTATCAATACTGATTTGTCCTCCATTTATAATAACCCTCTTTCACTTCATTAAACCTTTTCTAATACTATCCTTTAGTTCCCCATAAAAGCCTTCAAAATACAAACTGATCAAGATACTCTTCAGCACCCATTTACTTTCTCTCTTTGCCAGCTAAAATTGCTTACTCTTCAACACAATTACCAGTGTTCTGCACTATTTACTGCTCCTGTCTCAAAGGAATGGCAAGAAATCACTGCTGACTTTTTCCCCCCAAGGCTGATCATCTCCTTTTTGCTGCTATTCACCTACAGCTATCCTGGATGTTAAGGTTGTTGATAACACCATTCTCCCTAAATGCTCCTTTCACTCTTTCTTTCCCTGAAGCTGGAAAGACAACATCTGTGCTTAATGGCAACATTCACAGCTGCTCAGGACTGGGAGGAGGGAAGCTGAACAGCTAGTCATATCTGAGATCTAATCCAGGACATCAAATTTGAGCCCCAGCTGACAAGATCATTTTTAAAATGCAGCTGAACACTTGATGGAGATGTCTGTAATTCTGAACTATAATTTTCTGTGCAAGCAATCACTTTTAAAAGTTCTTCCAAGAACCGTTATTAATCAGTAGGTGTGTTCCAGAACTAATGTACCAACAAAATAAGGCTGAAATAAAGATCAAGAGAGTGAAGTTAAACTTCTTACAAAAAGAAAACAAAACAAAGCAACAGCAGTTCAGGCAGAGTCACTCAAAAGTAGCTTGAGGCTTAATCGAGTATTATTCCAAGGCTATTTCATTTTACTTCAAAATTTAATTTCTTCCTTTAGAGTTTTGAGAGGTGACTCATAAGGAGTAAACAGAATGTCCTCTTCACATCAACTGACTTGCTTTGCACTGTAGCTAATGAAGAACTGACAGATATTACTAAAATTTTAATTTCCCATTTTTCAGAAAAGGCAGGACCTTTTCTTGTACTCCTCACTGGTTACTTTCTCAGCCAACACAGAAAGCAAAGTTCAAGGTCAACAGTTATACAAACATATGTAATCTTACAAAAAGAGTCTTCAGAAACTCAGTTGTATAAAGGTAACCAAAGACAATGGCATTTTTACACAGCTGTATTAGGTATCTCAGTCACTGCTTCTGATCACCTGCACAAAATCATCTCACAGGAATCACCCTTCAATACGTTGATTGTAGATGGCCCAAGAATTACATGTTGCTTCTTAAAACATCATCTACATTTAGTCATGGTCAAACAAGTCTTTCTTTAGGAAACATTATTTGAAACTGCCCTGCATTAGCTAATAAACAGTTGGCAACTTTTCTCATTAATTGAAAAAAATTATTATTGTTAAAGGCTTTCTTCCTCAAGGGTTTTATTTAAATATTTCTTCTTTGGAGACATCACTGTGAAACACTGCCACCAAGGCCTAAGTGTTTAACCAGGTGGCTATTAACTGAATTTTCAGAGGTCTAAAGCAATCAGTTTCTTTCAGAATCAAGTTCAGGCCCCAAATTTCTTCTTCTCGCATAAACAATTGTGGTAATTCCATGCTCTAACAGTAATTCTAATGTTTTTTAAACTGTTGGTGTATATTTTCTCAATTCTTCCTGGCATACAAACCTTAACATCTCAAAATTGCACACTACAAACAGGACAATGCTGTAGTACTGTTTTCATCAGCTCCCCTCACTTTTATAATTAAAAAGAAGCATAGTTGTAACAGAATGTATTATCTGCATGTCTGTTGGGGGGGGAAAAAAAAGGAAAAAGGTGAAGAGGAGTAATGATTTTAAGAAAAAAACACATTGATTCAGCTCAAAAAAAATGGTTAGGAGACGCACACAATTAACCAAAACAGGGAGGAAAAGCAACAAAACCAAACTGAGCCAGATCCACACCTCCTGCTGTGGCCCTGTATATCTTCCAGGCCTTGTTCCTCAGGCATTAGGCATTGTCTAATAGTAATTAACACTGCTGATATGTGAAATGACACTGGCAATCACTCAGATGATTAAAAAATTTTGGTGAGGATTAGTTGCAGGTTCTCTCCAGACTGAGGTAAATGCTTTTTTATGGGTCATGCTGACTTAATGGACAATGACATGTAATGTTTTCATAGATGTAGTTTCTACACTACTTACTAGTATGAAGCTCTGGTCTTTATGAAATAAAAAAACACAACCAATAAATCCTCTCACCAAAATAACAAAAAAAAACCCTAACAAAAAACCCCAAGCAACCCAACCCCATTAAGCTCTTGAAAGAAGAGACTTTAGAACCAACAAGGTACATGGGCTTCATAGCAGTGCAAAAGGCTCAAACATCAGCAGAAGTTCCCTCATTGCTTTGGGTTCCCTTTAAGGGTGGAATTTGTATACTGTATGAGACTAAAAATATTACTAATGCAGTACTTACCGTTGGAGCCACAGGAAATTTCAAAGACAGATGAGGCTTCCCAAGGGATAACTATCCCAGCTAGGTAACTATGGACATGTGGCATACTGTGGGAACTTTGGGTTCACAGTGCTTCAGTCGTTGTGCTTTTACCCTGAGAACTGAAGAGTGCACAGACTGTCAGAGAGCAGCTCCTGGGGAAACTCCCATGCCTCCAATTAAAACTGGCAGAAGTTTTCTCCGAATGCCCTGAGCTGAATGCCCAGTGCAGCTGCACTGCAGCAACTGCAGCAGAGTGGGCAGCACCAGCACCTCCACTGAACTTACCAGAGCTCACCAGAGCTGCTTGCACACCACAGTTCCTTTTGGTTTCAAGGAAGGTCACATGAAATAAAATGATATCAGAAAGACAAAAAGGAACCAGAGTCCCTGGATCCAAACCCAAGAGCTGCACGATACTAAATCCCAAGGATAACTTAAGACAGGTGTCTTGGTCCAAGTAATTTTCATGGGTCTTGGTAATGAATATTGTGCCATCCATTACACTGCTAACTCAAGTACATAATATGCATCATATTAAATCCAGAAGTCAAAAAGTACTATTTATTGGAAAATAAAAGCACAGTCCTCAAATTAGTGCACTTGTAAGAGGTACTGGCACGGGCTGGTCTTTTCACAAGCTGTACCAAAATGTTGACCATCTTTGTTGTAGTAAGACAGCCCTTCTCCACTTTCAGGTCAAAGACTGCGTTTCTCAAATACCTGTATTTTTCCTGCAAATAAACCATTCTTTCACTGTATTTCCCAACAATGGCGGAGGAGGGGGAGCCCTGAAGGAACAATTGGAAATCAGTAATCCATTTTCCCTGACAGAACACTGGCCTTGCAGCCTCTCTGCCTAAGAGTGTACTTGCTTCAGAAACTGAAGGTTAAAAACAAGGCCAAAAGAAGCCTTCTAGACACAAGCCTTCTAGACACAAACAAGATAAAGTTGTCCTCACTGTTTTGACTTGGCAGACTGCAAAGACAGCTCTAATAATCTACTAGACAGGGTATTCCTTAAATGGCCAGTACAGTTTTTCTCCCATATTAAATGAGAGCTCAGTAGTTTAGTTTTACACTGCAAGGGAGTGACTTCGTTGAAGCTGAAGTTTTGTTTCAAGCTCAGATTTAAAATCAGGTAACACAAATATAAACAGACAATACCTCAACAACATCAGTATTAAAAGATCTTGATTACTAAGGATCACGATGACAAAGGAACTGTTTCTAAACTGTTAGTTCAGAAAAAAATTAGAGCAGGGAGGAAGAAAAAAAATGAAGTTTGCTCCTTGGAATACTATGGAATGAAGTGTACTACTGTTAGAAGCTGAAACACTTTGTTTTCTCCTGGATGTTAAAACAAAAAAAAAAAAAAGCCTAGATGACCTGCATCACACAGAAGCAAAAAGGAACAATTATCAACTTATTTCTACCTTCTACCTTCAGGTCACTTCATCATCATGAATGAGTCATACTTCATGTTCTTCCTGTTTTGGGGCTGCTGCATTTCTTTGTTTGCTACATGTCCCACATAAAGTACTTATTACATAAAATCCCTTATTCATACAAAATGTCACTTGATCTGAAAAAGAAATGTGGAGGAACCAAAACACTCTTCAACTGGCAATGAACATGCAGGGAAAAGCTGACACTCGATACAAAGGAATTAATTGAGAGTTTATTCCAGATGGTTCTCCTCACTTAGTATACAAGTCATCAGAATAATCTATCAAATAGATTTGGACTGTAATGATATGATTTTCTTCTATAATCCATTTTGGTTTTTGCTTCTAACAACCTGTTTTAAAAAAAAATCTGCCAGATGAAATGTTCAGCATGAACTGCGATCCTTACTATTTGTAGAAAATATGACTTAAAAAAGGACACTGTCATTTAGTTCATATTTTAAATGTTTACACTTATAAAAATGCTTTGGAAGCTTGAAACTCAAATCCTTTGTAACATTTTTCTTCTTCCTACCTCCCTCTTCCCATCTTAAATGCCTTTATTAGCCCAGAATTAACATAAATGACAGAGTGCAGCTGATGATTAAAAAAAAAAAAAAAAACATTAAAAGACCACAAATGGATAAACTGTGTTTAAAAAAAAAAAGGAAGCTTACATGAATTTTTTTCAAACAAATAAAATGCATAGATGGCTACGGTACTCATCAACCTTTACAGTGTCCACTTGAGGTAGCCTTTCTACAGAATTACTAAACAAGCCCCAACATCATCTAAATCCTTGCATCAAAACCACTATCTCTTTCAAAGTCCACTAATTTAACACCACTGGTGATCAACATAATACAAAGCTTTGAAGAAAACAGCAGGTACAGTGGACATAAATGTTAGTTCTAAATCTGCAGCCCTCAATGTACATTGTATGCACATAAATATCTCAGATATAGTACACATTCCAGATCCATCCCTAAAAGCCATACTATTACGTAAAGCACAGCCATGCTAACTTCAGGATACAAACCATAATTCCACGTCTACGAAAGGGAAGTATAATTAGTGGCAGTTTATTGCCTCATACAAATTTAACCAACATGGCAACCATGCCGAAGAAATTAAAACATTTTCAGGACATATGTACAGACTGTACATTTCAGAAACATCTGAACAATAAAAATGCAAAAACAATCTCTGCATTACAAATTAAACTAAACAAATGGTTTGAAACTGTCAATGCATTGAATGGGTTTACAAAGGCACTTCCCTACCCAAAATAGGAAATGACAATCTGCAGCCTAGAGGGAGGTTGGAGAAGAGTGCTCATCAACTACTGCACAATCTCAACTTTAAGAAAAAATAAGCAGGATTTAATCAAACATTTATAGGATTCAATGTGATCCACTTCTGAAAGAATTCACAGAGTCTCATCTTTGATTTTCTCTTGCTTTTCCTGGCTCTCTCGTTCTGTACTTTGGCTCCTTCGGCGATCATGTTTGTCAGAATGGTCCTTGCTATCACTGTGATCGTATTTGTGGGAACGTTCTTTGCTTCTGCTACGCTTCCTAGATTTTTCTTTGCTGGGACTCTGATCTCGTTTTCTGAACTTCTCAACACTATCTGTTCTTCCTCTGCTTCTGCTTCTACTTCGTTTATTCGACTTCTCCTTATTTTCATTTTTATGTTTACTTGATTTTTCTTTGCTCCTGCTTCTGCTGCGCTTACCTGTGTTCCTACTGCGGCTCCTACTCCTATGTTTTCTTTCCCGGCTTCGACTTCTACTATGTTTTCTCTCTTTTTTGGAATCCCTCTTGTCATCCCGGTGTTTCTTCTCATCCTTGTCATCCTTGTGTCTTCTCTCTTCTGTATCACCCTTACTTTTTCTTTCTTTTGACCTTTCTCTAGATCGATCTT